TGTTTGCCAGTTTTAAAGAAACCGGGTTGGGAAGCCTATCCCCCCCCCATAGAGGGCGTTTAAGCCGTTCTTGGACGAAAAACCAAGGGAAAGCTGTGAGCCACAATCACAACTGCTTGTACATACATTTATATATATATATATATATATATATATAAAACAAGTAAGTTTGGTAAGGAAAAAAATGGAAATTTCATTAATGAAAAAAAAAGGAGGAGGTTACATTATCTCTAACCAAAGAGTTTAGCAGATTTAGAGAACTCTTTTAGCTCATGTATTTCATGTATTTTAAAGTTGCAACATAGAATGATGCACATAAATTATTGAAGTAATCAAGACTGGCCCACAAGTACATCCTTGTAAGGAGTTGGTGCAGGAATAAGGAGTGCTGCTCTAGTTTCTTCGGCTATCGTTTCCCCCCTCCTCTCCCCTCCTAGGATTAGTGGTGCCTGGCCCTCCCTCTCTCGTCTCAAACGCTCTTGAGCTCCTCCTCGCAATTTCTCCAACCTTAGTCCATCAACATGTTGCATCTCGAACACTTTGACTACATTTGTTAAACCCCCAATAAAGAACATTAGACTTCCAAAGATGCCTATCCAAACCCAAGTCTTGCCCTGCATTAAGAAACTTTGTTAAGTCTAAACCTCCAGCTTTTCCCATACAATTGACTGTTGCCATTACCAAAACTCTAAGCAGTTTGTTTAAATTGCGCGATTAAACCATGCATCAAGTGAGCATATTGGCTAAGTAATTTCAGACACCTCGACTTTAATTAGATGTGGGTATTATGATGCAATAGCCCTCCAATGCGATTCGGGTAGCTTTTCCGTGCAATTCTTTCTGTTTTTGGCTTCTCTCAGTTTAATACCAAAAAATAAACAAGGCAGCTTACCAATAATTCCAGTCCATGATGACCCCATCCTGCGTGCTCACGAATATTGAGAATAGATCCCACCAAGAACAACGAACTTCCCATTAAAAATGGGATGTGGACACTCTGCTGCAAGATTTGCACATGCCCATCAGCTCTTTCATATATTTGGCATGAGTTGTGTAAGGATCCAAGCATCCAGAACGCTGGTCCTGCAGCAAGCAAGTTTAAAGCATGCCTTTCCAATTTGAAGTGATCATATCCTTTATATTCCTGCAAGTGTGGATGCAGGTCACAGCATCAATATTTGACATTTGACATAAAATTGATCCTACACCATCACTCGGCTGCAAATCAATCACTTGAATGAGGAAACCTCTATCCCTTTTATCTTATAATTGCTATATATAACAATTCCTACACTAAAATTGCTACTAGAATTCAGGGATTTTCAAGGCAATTGATTACTAATTAATATTTAGTACCTGAATAAAAAGAAAAAGAATACCCAAGAAAGAAAGCAAAGCCCCCAAGGCCTGAATCACAGGAACAGCAAATTCAACTAGTGCAAGCTGTGTGTCATACCCCATCAGACGCAACCGATAATCAATCCCGGCTAGATGGGCAACAAGATCATGAAGATTGACCACCGTAATAAGTAAGAGAGCTATGAGCAAAAGCACAAGACCTGGCTTGGTTTCCTTTGACAATTCAGCCACAAACCCACCAATAAGCACAATAGTTGCAAACACATAGAGCCCTGCGTTCATGTATTCTGCCCTGGATTTAGATAGCCTCGGCCCATACATTCGAATCTCTCTAGCTGATGCTAGCTTCACCATTGTCAACAAATATTTTGCAGTGCTAGAAGGACACGAGAAATTCAAGAATTGTAATATAGACTTGAAAAATTTGAACTTTATCTTTGAAAGTTTTGAACAAGATGGAATCAATATGTTGTTTAGGGTTGAGGATACGTGTCTTCTTGCATGGAACTTGTATTTTTGAACGTCGAATTTGTGACAAGCGGCAATCTTACCAAAATATAATACGATAAATTTAGACAGAAGTACAAAACGTGGAGGTCACATAGTGACATGTTGTCATGCTACGATTATAAGAAATACAAGATAGTCTACTCTATTGTATCCAAATCCATTTTGACCCGTTGATCACCCAACTAATTAGTTTGTTGAAGGTTTAAGATGATTGTAGGATTGAGAAAGCAATAGTTATTCTTGTCAAAAAACCATCTTATCTAAAAACTTAAGTTTAAATTGTTAGGTAAGACCCTAGAATATGATTTATATTATTCTCTAACACACCCCGTCAAGTGAAAACTCTTTAGGCTTGAAACTTGCACAGACCCACATTACCTTGTACTTAATTTTTTATTAAATAAATAAGGATGGTGAGATTCGAACTCGTGACCGTTTGGTCATCAAGGCTCTAATACCATGTTAAAGAACCATCTCACCTAAAAACTTAAGCTTAAGTTGTTAGGTGAGACCCTAAAATATGATTTATATTATTCTCTAATAGTTTTTACCTAATGATTAGATTAGTGTTCAGGGAGGATAACTTGGTTATAAATTCATTATTCCATGGATCATGTTCGAGTGGCGTGCCAAAAATCTGTTTGTTTGCAATGAAATTTTTTTAATAAAAGACCTCTCTCCTATTATGCCTCTATCTAGAATTATATCGAACATATCCAATCTGGAATATGACTCAAACCAAAGTTTAGATTGTGAATTTGTTAGTCTTAAGATGATATTATTTAAAACAATATTCTGAATTAATGTAATTAAATCTTATCTAGATTTGATTAAATCAATTCAATCGATAAAATATGATGAGATTAATTTTTAAATTTATTTAAAATAAAACTCTGTACACAGGCAGGCCCATTAGTTTCTCTCTTTCTCTCCTAGACTTTATAAATATATAGTTTTTTTAATTTTATTTTATAAATATAATTTACAACAATGTCCTTGAATATTCTTGGAATCTATACTAAAACCAATATAAAATGACAAAAAAAACCATTAGATGACAATTTTGTTGGTTTTGTCTTTAAAAACATCAAAATAATTATATTATTCTAAAAATATAAAATATATTTGAATAATAGGCATTAAATTATTTTATTCTTAGGCTAAATTAGTAGTTTTACTATAAAAAAAGATAAAATTACTAATTTTACCCCATATAATTTGTAAAAGATAATTGTGTCATGGTAAAAAGACCACTTTGTCTACAATACCTAGTTCAAAGGTTTTTTTTGTTTATGAATAATTTCATAATTTCACTATTATAATCTTGGTGAACAATAAATTTTCTAGGAAAATTAGTTTTTTTAAATTTAATTTGTTGTTCATGGACGTGGATAATCCATTTTAAATTTGAAAGTTCAAGACTATTTAAAAATATCATTATTCTTTATTCATTTTTAACTAGAAATTAAAAGCATATCATATTATAAATTTCCTATACTGATTTTAATGTGGCTCATTCAATTAGGGGTGAAAAAACACTTTGCTTAGCTCAACAGAAACCTTGCAATTTACCTCCGATGGATATGGAAATGGAGGAGGAGGCGAGGCGGCGATGCATCCTTAAATGATTCATTTGGGATGTTGCCGGCCCATATTGACAAAGTCAGGCCCATTGTCTTTAGCACTAGTTAGGCCTACTTAGATGATTCCCTAAAACTGAATAGATAGCCCAAAAGGCTCAATAGAAATCGGAGGGCCCACAACAGTTTGGCCCATTTTCTTTAGCACTAACCCGGCCTACTTAGTTGATTTTCTAAAACTGAATAGATAGCCCAAATGATATCATAATCCAACAAATGTATAAGGTAAGGCTCTGTTTGGTTCGTTTGTGTTCGTGAGCTGAGCAATTCAAATTTTTTAAAATAGATTTTCTTGGTTCGGTTTTTTTTTTAAAAAAAAATTAGAAATGCTACGTCAGTAAAGCATGTAAAATAGATAAATATGTCTCTCACTTCTCTTATAATAAGCTAAGATGGATGCTTTTATGATAAATATCAAGGAAAAATTACCTAAATCTTCTCGACATGGCATGGAAAATTCATCTTCTTTTTGGGAAAGAAAATACAGAAACGATGATAAAATGCCTCTCAAATATATAGTTTCTTGGAAGAATATTGGTATTATGAATATTAAATTGATTATGATAGTATT